GTGACATTGCACTATCTTTGACTATCATGGATCCTTCATCAGTGACCAGTGAGACTGATCCTCCTAAGGCAGAAGAGACAGTGAAATCAGACAGCAAGACTGAGGAAGAATCTTCTTCATCAAACCCTCCAGCTGCTACAGAGACAGGCCCGCCACCTCACGTTGTTCAAGAGAGCTGGACTAAACTCACAAGAGATGAACTGGTCGACAAGATCAAAGGAGTTATATATGGACACGCAATAGGGGACGCCATAGGTGTGTAAAAGAGAGGAAGGAAAGGCTAATAGGAGTCACTTTTCTTTAGGTCTTGCTACAGAGTTCATGACAAAGGAGCAAGCTAAGGGTACTTATGGAGCTAAAGGACCATCAGGTTATAAAGATATAGTCCCGGACTTTCACCGCTCAAGGTAACGGAGGAAAGAAGAGACACTTTGTACATGAAATATAATTAAATACAATAGGTGGGACCAGGGAGACTGGACTGATGATACTGATCAAGTATGAGAGGGAGGGAGAGGGTATTTCCTTGTTACTGTTCTGTCCACAGATGCTGCTCATCCTGTTGAGTGTTGTTGAGAACAATGGTATAGTGGATGAGAAGGATTTCGCTAGAAGACTGAGGGACTGGATGCTGAAGGGCTTCCCTGAGCTGGGAGACCCAGGTCAGTGAGTGGTACCTTTAAAATTTGACATAATAATTTAAATATTATATAAATAATTAACACATGCAGGTGGATTTGGTATCGGAATGACAGTATCCAAAGTTTTGCATCATCCTTTGATACTAACTGATCCACACGCAGCTGCTAGAGATGTATGGGAAAGCTCTGGGTAAAAAACAAATAATAATAATAATAATAATAATAATAATAATAATGATAATAATAATAATAATAATAATAATAATAATAATAATAATAATAATAATAATAATAATATTTCATTTGATACTTTTAGGAGATATTTAGCTGCTAATGGAGCCGTTATGCGTACCTCTATACTTGGGGTACTTCATTTTAACGGTAAAGCGTCAATGAATATTAATTAATAATATTATTATGATTTACTCTAGATTTAGAAAGAGTGGTCTCCAATACTTGTGCCATTTCTCGTGTTACTCATGCTGATCCAAGATGCACTGCCAGCTGTGTCGCAATGACAACTGCTGTGAGTAATACCATAAACTGATACATGTACATGTACTTATGTTGAAAGTTTGAGCTGATTCTGATCAATATTGGATTTTTATGAATTTTTAAAGTTACATACTTTGTAGTACAGAGACTTTGGGCAAATTTTGCCAAAAATGAAAAGAAGAGAATTCTTTATTTTAAATTTTTTTCCTGATGCATGCATTCCTTATGTGCTCTTTTAATACTGCACCGCCTATTGTTGTGTATCCACAGATAGCACTCATGTTGCAAGGACGCTATGACTTAAGCAAGAAGGATCAAATGAAGGCTCTAATTGAAGAATCAACAAAAGTAAGCAATCATCATTCTTTTAGTAACTCCATTGTCTTACTATTCCACTTGCAGGCTGGTATCAAGCACATTGAGTTGAAGGCACAGGAGAAAGAGTTCCAGGACCACATTAATGCTAAGAACCTCAAAGCGCTTAAACTGGATGAGCAGAAGGCGATAGGTTATACCTTCAAAGCTCTTGGGTCTGGATTCCTTGGTCTTCGAACTGGGACTGACTTTCGTAAATTCATAATGGAACTGATAATGGAGGCTGGAGACGCAGACACGTGAGATATTTATCATTTCACAAACTGACACTACATCTTTTTTTAATTTTGGGAGACCAGTCTAACTAAAAATGACAGCTAGACTTTAGCCAGTATAGATCATGCAAATATGAGAGACTAAAAGTCTCCTAAATTCCCTCTAGATCCAACAGGGACAATGTTTGTTACTGGTTTTTAATGATTTTTGTTGTTTTCTATAGCAATGGAGCCGTGTGTGGCGCTATGTTAGGCTGTAAGGTTGGTTTCTCCAAACTTCCTCAAGATCTCCTTCAGTTTGTCCACAGACAGTGGCTCGATGAGCAGGTGGATAAATTTATGGAACTTATTGGATTGAAATAAACTATAAATTTTTTAAAATTTGCAGAGACCAATATTATTTTTTAGATATAGTATAATAATATATTTTTTATTGTCATCTTTTTAAAACAATTGCAATGCAAGGAGGCGTGGCTCATTTTAACCACGCCCAAATAATCTCCATTTTAATAGTCCTGAGTCCTCCACATGGAAGAGGTTGATCAAGAGCCTGACAGTACTAGCGTTTCTTCTACCACGAACAGGTCAGCCTCCCCCCTCTCTCTCTCTTCATTTGTTTCACCTCCTCTCCAGGTGGCAGTTTCTATCAGAAGGAGTGTTTAGTCAGCATGTGCCCAGTCCAGCAGTCGCTAGACCAGTAGGAGCTCTGAGATCCACTGTATTGCAAAGGAGAACCAGAACTGATGATGCACCGGAAAGAATTAATACCTGTATGTATATTAATACCTGTGTGGAATATTGTAATATTAATTCATGTATAATGGGAGGCTCAATACATTAATAACATGTACATGTACCTGTATTTTTAATTCTTAATGGCTCCTTGGTTTTGACATAGAAGGAAAGTGTTGTGTATTGCTATTAAAGTATTTGTGTTTTCCTCAGCTTTGAGGACGTTAGACTCTGTATTGGGCGGAGCTTCACCTGTGACCACACCCCTAGCCTCTAGGAGCCACCTGCCAACACTAGAGACTTCTGTGAGGTCACCAAACGTAAGTACACGCCCACTCACCCACTGGTACTGTACATTGTATTAGGTAACACTGAGTCTGATGAATGAATCAGGTGTGTTAAGACGTATGGAACTATCAGCAACACCAATCACACCACGTCCTAGGACCAATGATACTAATAATACCGGACTGGTAAGAGAGGGGGAGGGGTTGATTAATAACTGGGGCATTTTAATGATTATTTTTGTGTAGTTTTCACAGATTGAGGATCAGTCAAGTTTCCAGCTGTCATTAGATCAGTCTCTTTCCTCTCCTCCTCTTAAACTAAATGAGAAGACCTACCCCAACCACCCAATGCTTCAAGGTGGAGTGAGAGAGAGAGCAAGAGCTAGTACATTGTATGTTCCCTTTCAGTTGGTTTGGAACTAATGGCTACATTCCACAACCACCTTCAAGAGAAGAACAGTCCAGCACAATTACTGGAGCTATTGGAGGGAATGGAACAAGTAAATACTGACATCTTTATACTCCTGCCATCTCTCTCTCCCTCCCTCTCTCTCTCTCTCTCTCTCTCTCTCTCTCTCTCTCTCTCTCTCTCTCTCTCTCTCTCTCTCTCTCTCTCTCTCTCTCTCTCTCTCTCTCTCTCTCTCTCTCTCTCTCTCTCTCTCTCTCTCTCTCTCTCAGACTTGTGCTTTCCAAATTGATCACTTGAAATCCCTTGAAAACCCAACCAAGTGAGTTTATGTATATATTATTAACCCTCCCACCCCCTCCCCTCCCCTCCCCTCAGTGTTAAGGATGTACTCCGTGAGTTGCAGCTGGAACGGGACACTTGGCAGCTAATGAGAGGGCTCTACTCCGACCGCCTCTCCTCCTCTGAAGAAGAAGAAGAAGATATGATAGAGAGAGAGGTACAGTATAGTCTCTCTTAATGGATACTCTCTATAGCGTACACCTCCATTTAACGGACAGCACCTAGTGTACCAATTACATTCCTTACTGTATAAAATAACCTCCACATAAAGGACACCTCTGTATAACAGAGACACTTTCTTGCCCCAAAGTGTCCATTATATAGAGACTATGTCTAAACTAACTTGATATTATGGTGGATATTATTAATTTTATTTACTAACAGCTTCTTCCAAGGACTGACAAGTCAATCATTGAAGACTTTTATTCGTCTGACAAGTTCATACGACAGGCTCAGGTGAGTTTCCATGGTAACAGGGGGAGTGTCATAAATCACGTGATCCACAGATTGTAGTTGATTGGTTGGAGGATATTGCTAGTCGCCAACTCAGCAATTTCCCAGCAAAAGTGAAATACTATACTGACTCAGTGAGCTGGTAAGATCAATACATTGTACCTGTACCTGTACAAGTGGTACGTATTGTCCATTGTATTTGATAGGGAGAGCACGTTACATGATGTTCAACACAATCTTAACACGGAGCACATTGTAACTGAGCTGGATCCTGATGGTCCCTCAAGACAGAAGAGGCATCTCTCTGACTTGGATGAGGTGAGAAGGAGCTAGTTTTAGTCAGTAATCCTTTTTCTCTGGCTATTAATGTAGAAAGATGAAGCTTCACTTGCTAAGCACCTGTTTGAGTGTGTTAGGGCAGGAGACATTAACAAGGTGAGAGGTTGAAGAGGGAGGGAGGGTATCGATTAGTTACTGTTTCATTTGAGGCTCAAGAATTGTGTCTTCATTGCGGTCAGTCATGGAAGTCAGCTACTCTTGACGGCTGGAAACTCTATCATGACCCCAACCTGTTGAAAGGTGAACGACAATATTATAATAACTTTAATTCCTCTCCCTCTCTCTCTCTCTCTCCTCCTTCAGGTATAGACAGTGAGTTGGAGGAGGTTGAAGGTAATCTTGGTCGTACCTTATGGAAGAGCTCCTGCTGGGAACTTGTTAAAAGTGTAAGTGACCTCGCTACTATTGGCATGCAGTGACACCAAACAATCTTATGAATACAAAGAAGTGGTTTTTCCAAGAATTGTCATTAATTATTATTTTTTTATAGTCGTCATATTGCGATCATGAAAAAGCTCTTTATGCTGCTCTTAGCGGTAACATATCTCACGTGAGTTAATAGTCCGTCTCTCCTCCACTACCTGTCTCTTTATGTTCATGTACTCCCCCTTCTCTCTCTCCCCCCTCTCTCTCTCTCTCTAGCTCCTCCCAGTCTGTCAGAACTGGTATGATTATGTGTGGGCGTATTTTAAGGTCATGGTAGACGTTCGTGTTGAACAAGTTAGACCAAACTGGAAGAGAAACCTTTTAACTTTTAAAATATTTAGAAGTTACTAGTATCCAACAGATATCCGTCTGATGACACTGTTATCATTGAAATGCCTCAAGATTATTGGAAGACCATGTAAGGGCATGGGCGTGGCTTCCCAAGAAACCATTTTTATTATTTGTAGACTTGTACCGGAATTGATATTCCAAGAGATTGAGGCCACACCCTCTCATAAGATTCGTAGACAGTGTACCAGCTGCTATCATAAAGCACAGAAACACATCATACTGGGATCCCTTGACGGTGAGTTAATGAATGGGTGTGGCTATGGATTAATTAATTAATGCAGGGCTGGTTGATGATATGCACGAATGGCTGAAGAACACTTCACAAACTCATTCTCACTTACTGAGATTCATGGTAACAGATAAGTACTGATACTGCATTGTAGTAATGTACTCTTATGTGGTTGGTCTGTTTCCAGTCGTTGTTTGTGTTTCTTGATTGCCATATTTGATAATACTTTCAGTTTCTTTATTTCAGGCTCATTTGGTGTTGTTTGTGAAAGCAGTTCATTCCTCATATCACGTAAATAATTAAAGTATTGATAATGAACTAACTCTCTCTCTCTCTCTTTAGGAAAGCAAGTGTAATGATATACTGGAGGCTTTTATTAAAGTAAGTGATCAGGTGACTATTGGTCACATGATCCTCACCACCATGCAGACCCTCGTATCTCATCACCTCACGGACCTTGTGGCCCTTTACTGCTCCTACCTACCACCTGATCGTCAGGTAACTGCTTACTCCTCTCTACTTGAAAGTTAGTCTATTTATTGTTGTTATTATTGTTGTTGTTGTTGTTGTTATTGTTGTTGTTGTTGTTATTATTATTATTAGGTACTACTGAGCCGTTGCAACAGAAGAAGTGTCTTGAATTAGCTAGGGAGTGTGGTAATGGACATTAGATAATGAGAGCTAGGGCTCCTAAACAATGGCCTCCTCCTCTTTCATTAGGTTTAGATGTTGCCTCCATCACAAAACAAGTCGTTACAACAACACAACTCCTTCAAGAGGTACCTGATATACAGTGGGTGGGTGGGTGTGGTTATTATTATTTCATGTTCTTAGGATGTGGTACCTTTCCCAATGGATCTTGCTCATGACCCTGGAATCAGTGAAGTAAGTACTATTAATATTTATTTATTCTCTCTCTCTCTGTTCAGAGTGATCGTAAGAAGATTGATGTCTTGGACTGGTTGTTTTATGAAGAGGTTCATCGAGATGAAGCTTTACGTCAGTCCAACGCTCTCATCAGAGAGTTCTTGGGTAGCCACACCCATACCTATACATTTACCAATAACCTTCATTAACCTGCAGCTGTCAATAAGTACAGAGGAGCTGATGAAGTGTTCCAGAAGATTCCGTCAGACACAGTGACTGTCATCACTCGTAACTGGAGCGCTAAGGTAGAGAGAGAAAGGGCAATGAGAAGATGATACTCGTAACACTAGACCCCGCCCCCTTTCAGTAATATTACCATATTCTTTATTAATTAATGTAGTGTGGTAAATTAGTGCTGTTACTATTAATAGTAACACTAGTAATGTTACTATTAATAGCTTAACTTCATTCCAATGATATATTCTTGTTCTATATTTAGAATGGATCCAGCCCTCTCTCTCACAGACTAATGAGTGACATTCATGAGTATGTCAGTATTGAAGCTTATCTTGTTAGTCTGTTCCTGAAGATGTGCAGTTTTATTATTATTGTTAATTTATTTGTAGAAAGCAATTAAATTTTTTAATTTGTGGTTTGAGCACTTTCATCTCTCAAGACCTGTAAGGGAGGGGGAGGGGGAGAGAAGATTAATTATAGTTAATGTGTTTAATGAGATCAGCAATCATACAATGTATTATTAATACATTGTATATTGTGTAGGTGAGTCCTTCTAATGGAGGGACTGGTGGGTTTATGGAGCAGGTCGCATTTGATAGACAATCTGAAAAACATCAAGTAAAGTTGTCAGTGTGTTTCTTCTTTACCCCCACCCCCTCTCTCTCTCCCCCTCTCTCAGATAGAGTTAGAGCAATGGACCATGAAGCTCACATCACTTGTGTCTGTATGTTCCTGAGCTGCTATTACACACACACACCTTCACTTTGTTTACTTGCAGGAAGTCAAATCTCAAGTTTACAATGTACTAATGTTTGTCAAGGGAGGATGGATGAGCAATGTCACCTCTGCTGATGTAAGTTGATTATTATCATCATCATTAATATTATTATTATTATTATTATTATTATTATTATTATTATTATTATTATTATTAGGATGCTGATCCTGATGAATCTAATCGTGTCCAGCAGATGAAAAGATTAAGAGAGATTTGTATACCAAGACTTTGTTTCCTGTTGCATTCAGTTCTTCATTCATCGCAGAACTATAAAGACGTTAGTTAAATAATATTTAAAATGTAATAAAAATTTGGGGTGATTTCGGAGCCATTTTTTGGAAAAAACCATGGGCTATAGCCTTGGGTATTTTTCAGAATTTTGACGTTTTCTTAAAATGGCCGTAACTTGAAAAATTGAATTCGGAATCAGCTCAAACTTGCTACACAGCATAAAGGCATCAATGTGTATCAGAAAATGTAATAAAAATTTGGGGTGATTTTGGAGCCATTTTTTGGAAAAAACCATGGGCTATAGCCTTGGATATTTTTCAGAATTTTGACGTTTTCTTAAAATGGCCGTAACTTGAAAAATTGAAGTCGGAATTAGCTCAAACTTGCTACACAGCATAAAGGCATCAATGTGTATCAGAAAACGTAATAAAAATTTGGAGTGATTTTGGAGCCATTTTTTTGGAAAAATCCATGGGCTATAGCCTTGGGTATTTTTTAGAATTTTGACGTTTTCTTAAAATGGCTGTAACTTGAAAAATTGAAGTCGGAATCAGCTCAAACTTGCTACACAGCATAAAGGCATCAATGTGTATCAGAAAACGTAATAAAAATTTGGAGTGATTTTGGAGCCATTTTTTTGGAAAAATCCATGGGCTATAGCCTTGGGTATTTTTCAGAATTTTGACGTTTTCTTAAAATGGCCGTAACTTGAAAAATTCAAGTCGGAATCACCTCAAACTTGTTACACAGCATAAGGACGTCAATATGTATCAGAAAATGTAATAAAAATTTGGGGTGATTTTGGAGCCATTTTTTGGAAAAAACCATGGACTATAGCCTTGGGTATTTTTTAGAATTTTGACGTTTTCTTAAAATGGCCGTAACTTGAAAAATTCAAGTCGGAATCACCTCAAACTTGTTACACAGCATAAGGACGTCAATATGTATCAGAAAATGTAATAAAAATTTGGGGTGATTTTGGAGCCATTTTTTGGAAAAATCCATGGGCTATAGCCTTGGGTATTTTTCAGAATTTTGACGTTTTCTTAAAATGGCCGTAACTTGAAAAATTGAAGTCGGAATCAGCTCAAACTTGCTACACAGCATAAAGGCATCAATGTGTATCAGAAAACGTAATAAAAATTTGGAGTGATTTTGGAGCCATTTTTTTGGAAAAATCCATGGGCTATAGCCTTGGGTATTTTTTAGAATTTTGACGTTTTCTTAAAATGGCCGTAACTTGAAAAATTGAAGTCGGAATCAGCTCAAACTTGCTACACAGCATAAAGGCATCAATGTGTATCAGAAAACGTAATAAAAATTTGGAGTGATTTTGGAGCCATTTTTTTGGAAAAATCCATGGGCTATAGCCTTGGGTATTTTTTAGAATTTTGACGTTTTCTTAAAATGGCCGTAACTTGAAAAATTGAAGTTGGAATCAGCTCAAACTTGCTACACAGCATAAAGGCATCAATGTGTATCAGAAAACGTAATAAAAATTTGGAGTGATTTTGGAGTCATTTTTTTGGAAAAATCCATGGGCTATAGCCTTGGGTATTTTTCAGAATTTTGACGTTTTCTTAAAATGGCTGTAACTTTAAAAATTGAAGTCGGAATCAGCTCAAACTTTCTACACAGCACAAGGACATTAATATGTATCAGAAAATGTAATAAAAATTTGGGGTGATTTTGGAGCCATTTTTTGGAAAAATCCATGGGCTATAGCCTTGGGTATTTTTCAAAAATTGGCTATTTTAAAATGGTCATAATTGATCTTGTTATTGTACACGTATGCTGTTTGCTACATTTATAATGAGGGAAGTTCAGTATTTATCAATCAGTGTATGTCATTTGTTATTGAAAATAGTTGTGGTAACTTTCAGTATTATTATGAACTGTGTACAGTATGTACAGGAATTATGTATAATTATCTGTGTGTGTGTGTGTGTGTGTACTTGTGTAGTGTGGTGTGGTGTGTCTCCCAAAATAAACATCCTGCCAATGATTCTAATCACTGGATACCTGAGAATGAGTGAGTGGGTGTGTCACTGCACCTGTGTATCCACTGTATGTATATAAGTATTTTCATGAGGTGTTTCCTTCATATTTCATTAAAGTTCAGCCATGAATATTCCTTCTTAGCAAATGAATATCATTGCAATTTGACTTGTTGTCTTCTACCTGATGATAGCCCATAGACACTGTACATGATCATAGTACAAGACATTATACACAGCTACTGTAGCTCTTACTCACTCCTTTATGTGATCAGTTATAAGTACATTATACACAGCTACTGTAGCTCTTACCCACTCCTTTATGTGATCAGTTATAAGTACATTATACACAGCTACTGTAGCTCTTACTCACTCCTTTATGTGATCAGTTATAAGTACATTATACACAGCTACTGTAGCTCTTACTCACTCTATGATTAGTTATAAGTACATTAGTCTGTACCTCATTGACCTTTATCAATGGGCAAAACAACTACTTGTCTAAATTGTCCATTATTTAAAGGATGCCCCATAATAACAACTAGAACAGTAACAATTATTATTATTATTATTATTATTATTATTATTATCATCATCTACATTTCGTAGTGTTTTGAGCTGGCCAGTGTGATAGCCTCAGAGTCTCATGGACTACACGAAGTCTTTCGTCCTCAAGAGTTGAAGCAGTTCCTTAAACTGATGTATTCTTCCTCTGTGGAATCAAGTGACACTGTTTTAGGATCATATGCAACCAATCTTTGACTTAATTGTAACAATCCATGACTTCATTTTTCTTTCAAAACCTCACCCTCTCTCTCTCTCTCTCTCAGCTTGTGGTTATTTACTTCTGCCTGTTGACTGGATGAAGCATAATTATTATGGCAGCAATTACTGTTATTATTAATAATAATAATACTTTAAAACTTGTGATAAAAACTGATAATAATAGCAATATCATAATAATAATATAATATATATAATATTAATTACTAGTGGTGATAAAAAAGTTAAATAGTGCTTCAAAAATTAACGAGAAAATAATTGTCTGCTATTAAAAAAAAAGAGTTAAACATGCATAATAATAATAAGAAGAAAATAAATAAAATAAAATATATAGGGGCTGTTTGTTACTGTGTCCTTTGAGCAGCTGCTTGTCTCATGGCACTGAGAGCTTTCTCAAACGGCAGTAACAACCTGAAGAAGAAAATTGAGAAACAAACAGTTTTATAAAGGAGTAATAGATCAGCACATTATAGTACACAAACTGCTGCTGCATGTTAAACATGTTTACTTTTCGTAATGTTTCCTAGTGACAGTTGATGCACAGGTCATAGTTGTACTGTAGCCCATACTGTCAAAGACACTGCTCCACTTCCTGTTGACAGTGACTTGGTCATATCCTCCCATACGTGTTGTGGAATGAAACAAACTATACAAATTCACTGAGGGAGAGAGAGAGAGAGAAGAGTAGTTAAAGAGAATAAATTCTTGTAATTCTTTCACAGGTTCATTAGAGATGTTAACAAGACTCCTCGAGGTGTGAACAGGAAGTCCTGTTCTCACCTCAAGGTGTTAACAAGGTGTCAAAATCAATTTTCATTTTCTGACTATCATTATGAAAATGACTTTTGATTTATTCATTAAGCAATTTTTTGGAATTGTTTATGATGGAAAATAGTGATAAAAATTCACTTAAAGTTTCTGCATTCATAATATGCACATGTACTAAGACGTTTACTGTACAAGTACATGTACTAAGGTGTTTACTGTACAAGTATGTGTATAATTTATTCTTACAGTATTTAGAGCCAAGTCTTGGTATTTTGTGAATTGGAGTGTTCCTTAACCTCATGAAGCAGAACAAGAGATCAAGGAAAGGTTTCTCCTCCAGTAGGTGCTCATCAAGATCCTTAAGGACAGCCTGGGACTGTCCATCGTGTTGTGCCTTTAGCAAGTGAGCCCTGAGGAGCTGGCGGACATCAGGAGTGATCGTTAGAGCAGGGGAAGGAGGAGGTGTGGGGTGAGGCAATATGGGGGGAGGGGGAGGAGGAGGGAGTGATGGTGGTACTTGTGGCGTTTGAGTTTTGACGTAATTATTAATAGCAACACATGTATCTTTCCTCTCTGGTATAATGGGTATGACGGGTTTGTCAGGTTTTGGAGCAGGAGCTAAAGGAGCAGGAGGAGCTAAAGGAACCGGAGGAGGAGGAGGGGGAGGGGATAAAACAGGGGCTGGTGGCTGACGTTTCACTACAGGAGGATCAACAAAATTAAGTTTCGTATCATAAATACTGTCATCCCGAAACTGAGGAGGAGGTAAGATACTCTCACGAGGTCTAAGAGAGCGAGAGCTGTCTTCATTGGGAGAGAGATCAGACCCATCATCAGAGTTGGGGTCCTCATTATTAGATATCTCTGAGGAATTACTATTAGTGTTGTATTGAACTGACATTGAAGACTGGGAGCCAGTAATGGCAGCATTACTGCTACTGCTACTGCTGCTAGCTGATAGGGAGGAGCTCTCTGGTGACTCTCCTGTACCACATCCACTGAGTTTAGGTTTCTTCTCTGGCAGGGGATGTCTCCGTGGTCGACCTGGCCCTCTCTTCTTCCCCTGAGGGGGAGGGGGAGGAGGAGGGAGGAGGGGCTCGTTCTTACGTGGGCGGCCTCTCTTCCGTTTGAAAGGAAGGTCCCCATTATCACTCAGACCACTGAATGAGTAGACATGGTTTGGGAGCTGCTTAAGGTCTGTCATGATACTAGGACCTAATGAGAAATCAGACAGTGAGATAATGTATTATTGAATTGAGTATCAGATATTGACTGTAACTTTAATGGCTTCTGCTGAACTACTAGTATTGATAAACAAACCAGAACTGAGGAATGAGGGGATTCCCCATAAAATGTACACTAACTTATTATTATTATTATTATTATTATTATTATTATTATTATTATTATTATTATTATTATTATTATTATTATTATTATTATAGACTATAGCAAAACTCATACATACCTGTACATGTACATATCATTATTATTATTCTATTCATTGCAGGCTTACTTTCCATTGTCATTAATCTTCTCTCTAGCGATAGATCACGAAACGTTTTACGACAGAACATAGCAATGGTGGGCGTGGTTGGTACAGAGACTCCGCCCAAAGCCTGGACAAGAGGAAAACTCATGTACATGTAGGGGTCTGGCTGGAACCGCTTGAGGACGGCACGATAGCGGCAATAAGCAGCAAAAGAGAATACTATAACTTTAAAGGATGTGTCGATGGAGTTGGGACAGCGACTGATAACAGGACTGGTAGCTGGAGAGACGTCAGTGCCATCATGGAACCCACCTATGGGTACCATAGTCTCGTTACAGTAGAGCAACTGAGTACTGGAGGATGAGGACTGGTGGGGGGAAGGGGGAGAGGAGAGAGGGGGAGAGGGAGGGGGGGAGACGTGGGGGAGAGGTTGAAGGGGTACACCAAGTGACCAGGGAGCATCAATTTGTTCTATTGACAGAAGGTGCTTGCAAGTCATTATGACCGGCTTATAGAAGAGCAGCAACTCATGCTATGAAAGATAACAATAACAATAATAATAATAATAATATTAATAATAATAATAATAATAATAAGTGATAATAATTACAAGAAATGTGTGTGAGTAAATAATATAAATTCTTGTTATTACAATAGCCCATTAGTGTATACTGTTAATAATTCTTATAATAATACCAATTACAACTAGACCTACTAGGGACATTAGTACATGTATATAGCAATTATTAGTATCATTGGTACATGTATAGTATACTGAAACCAACAATAGAAAGTGAACTTGAAAGATTCAAGAAATCTTACAATGTACGTGTACACAATAATTATAAGAGAAATAGTTTATCATTATGTCAAGTACATGATTGTCTTACCTCTCCATGATGGTGGGTTCTTCCATGAGGTAAATCCTGAGGAAGAGTGTATAGTTTTAGTCTAGCGAATCCCGTTGTGCTGTCATAGAGCCAAAGGTGAGTGATCTCAGCTAATAGCGTCTTCTTGTTGATGCTAATGCAAGTAATGTCCCTGCAGGAATACTTCTTGCTCAGGACATGGTCAGTCACAGTAAAAAAATGAGAATAGTACGTGTACTTGTGTCTTTGGGTGAGTATCCCTACTTTTGGCCACTGCATAAGTTGGAAAAGAAAGAAAGAAAGAATGTGAATCAATACAATGCAATCCAATTATCACGTGATCCGTGTATCTTGCTCTGAAACAACATTACAGCTCTGTTGTGGTTTAACATTAATTAATATTTGTAATCATTATTAATTTTTATTTTCGCCGAAACAAAGGTTTTCTTTGAAGAGATACATCTTTACACAAAAAGAGCCACCACTCAAAAAATAATTTTACAAAGTGCCGTCGCCCACTTTAAAAACTGTTGTGATGGCGTATCGGATTTCTTCGGGCTTAAATAAAAAAGCCAAGGACAGTGTTGGGCTGTATTATTTTTAAATTGGGAGTAAATGGTCGGGATGAGAGCTTTTCAATTTTTATAATGATGAATCAATCTAATATTGTCTCACTTACCTCTATTGTCATGTCAGCACGATTACTCCTCCGTATAAAATATTATTACAAAAAGACTAGTCTTCTTCTGGTCTCTCTAACAATTTAAAACTCTCTATCACTCACTAAAAACAGTGGCCGAAGAATTACCCAATAATACTTTTCTCTCCTTCAAAAAACATAATCTTTCTTTATTGCAAACATCAAACTATGAATCTCATTAAATTTGGGTGTGGCGTTTCCATGCCAACAAATCTATTACAGCCACTCCCACATAATAAAATGGCAGCACATCCAACAGTGCTCAAGCAGACAGACGATTTGGTGGAGCTGTTTCGACATGTTCTGGATAACAATGTGAGACCTTAATCTTAAAATAAGGTTTAATGTGCAAAGATACAGGTGGAGAGATATTGTGTAGCAGCCAAAACAGAGCTATCATCATTGTACAGAGAATTAGAGGTGAGAATGTATGGCCATTGTTTATTATTAACAAATTTACTGCTTACATCAATCTCCTGCACATGAAATGAGAAAGAATGTATGTATATTTTATCATCACTAGGTGGAGCGTCTGCAGCACCAAGAGACCAAACAGCTGCTAGTTGATGAGAGTCACAAACTCTACTTGTTGGAAACTCAACTCCACACACTTCAGCGTCAGCTCAATCGGGAACAGAATACTTTTGAGAGAGCGTTAGTTTACAGTCTTGTGCACCTGGAACTATTAATATCAATTATTATTGTGTTGTTTGCTTTGCCTTCTCATTTGTTTGTCATTTCTACATATTTCTGCTCTTTCAATTTTAAATATACTGCTAATAGTTTTCAATATGGAGGAGTACAAAAACTTCCTTTTTCTCCTCCTCCTCTTCCTCCTTTTATGTATATAGGTTTGGTATATTAAAGAAGAAAGATTTGAGCTTGACACCAAACAAAATGTCCATGCAACTAGCCGGTAAATTCATGCATGTTATAAAAGATGGCAGCCCTCTTCTCTTCTCTTCTCCTCATATCTCCAACACTTTTATCTTCAGCTTTAGAGGCAGCATGTCATAAAAAAGATGAAGAGCTACAACACAAAGATCAGACAATTGATAAGCTTCGAGCAACCATTGCCAGCATGAAAAGGGAACACAAGAGGCAGTTGGAGGATTTGAAGCTAAAGACCAAACAGGACTCTTATTTATCATCATCATTTCAGACAGCAAATAGGACATACTATAATGACACGCACACACGAAGAAAAACTAAACACTAATAGCTTTTATTATTATTATTATTATTATTCAAAGTTGCGCGAGTCCCTCGACAGCTGCTAAGCTAAACAGAAAGTTCTCTGTAGCTGGGGTCATCTTCCTTGCTCTTAGTGTCTCAAGTGATATCTTTCCATCGTCTCCTGTCAGCTTTTGCAGGTTGTTGATTAAATCTTTTGTTTTTGTTGACAGTTCCTAAGAAATGAAGTGGTTCCTAATGAAAGTTGAGTTTATATAAGTCACTTTTATGATGGCCTGATCAGTGGTGTCTTCATTATTGACGGAGTCCATCAGTTTCATGGCAATGTCTTTGTGTAGCTTTGTCATTCCAAATGATTCTAGAGAGAAGGAGAATGTAAAGGAGACAGGGAGAGGGTTAGTGTAAAATGGAAAGGAAAGAGAGAGAAGCTCCAGTCAGACCAGCTGTGTCAGTATAATCATACCTTTAGAGGCAGGATTAACATTAATGCTAGCAGCTGGAACTACAAAAAAATTATAGTGGTATCGGCAATAAATGGACAGTCATATACCATTAACTAGTATGTCGAATAATTCCTGATGTGCTTCGATGGCTGGATCAGTAAAACCGGCAACATACGACATCTTAAGAGCCTCAGTCTCTCCATCATCCAAACTAACATTAGGATACACTATATTCCAGTTCTGACGATGCCAGACTAGCAGTGGAATCGTTCTATTTTTAGAATATTACATCACTGCTATAAATAGATGGTCTAATACCTGCAGGTGTCCAGCAGTGTCTGTAGATCTGGTGCATATACAGCAACTTTCTTCTTAAGGAGCAGAGCATTGTAGAGTAAGATAGACTCAACACCAAACTGCTTCACTAATTCTAATAATAATAATAATAATAATAATAATAATGATGATGATGATGATGATGATTATCATTTACTTACCTCTCAATGGCCGTGCTACATAGGCTCGCCTGATGTCATAGTTCTTCTCGTGGTATTCCTTACAAGATGGAGGAGGGTCGGTCACTTCTCCTCTCGTGTACACACTGAGGAAGTGGGTTACTATGGAAACTGGATCACCAGAGCTAAGGTAGTCTTGGGAGAATATTTCTGCAAGATGGTTATACTTCTCTGGATTGAAATCCTGAAGTATTTGTACAGTCATTAATCATAATGAGAATAAACTATAACTTACTTTAGTAAGAATAACAACACAGAATGAAGATACCTGTTGAGAGATAAAAGAACACATAATGTACATGCAACGTGTTAGGACATACTTTCTCTATCTTTCCTTGAGCTTCCTGATTATACAAATAATACCAGACGTCACCCAAGTGTCCATATTGATACTGTAAGGTTGCTTTACCCTCCTCATCTCCTCCTCCCTCTAAACTGGTCTTCCTAAGGAGAAGCTCACGGAGAGAGGAGTCCACTGTAGGGTAGGACCAAACCCACATCAACTCTCCTTTATCATCTTTCTCTGGATATAAACGAGAGCCTCATTGTTCTTCATTACTTAATGCTTACCTATCAGACCTGTTGCTAAAAGGTTAGAGGGACCGGTAGCCATTTTGAGGGCGTGGCTCAATTTCAGCCACGCCCTGTTGCAACCTTGCAAACAAGAATGGTGTTTTTGCAATGATGCTTGCTGCTAACAAGAGTACTAATGATTCACACTGCATTTTCAACAGGAAAAGGACACCTTTTAACAAGGCTTTCTTTCTTTTTTTGCTAACACACGCAGCTCTAATCAAGATGAATTTTGTCGTGGGTGTGGTCTTTCTTATGCTTGACTCCGCCCACATCGCCTCCATTCTTAAAATTCATTTTCTCCAAACTCACATCTCGCCCAGTCTCTTGACCAGATGTCTACTAACAGTGAGAGGCTAATAATGGTTTTATTCTATCTCTTTTCCTCTTGCATTGCTAATAGGTCACGTTAGGTTTGCTGAAGGCACTCACTTGGACCCTGACAAACTCCACGTTACTGATGACGGCTCGCAGTACCACTTACCAGAAGCTCATATTGGATTTCTACGCAACCACCACACGTACCATGCAGGTAAGCATCAGTAGCATAGACTAATAGTAAACTCTTGTATGTAATCTAATTATGACCGACCCTTCCTTATCTCACTAAAGATGTCCCCATTAAACATGGTCTTGGTTCAGATGTAACGGTCACTGTTCCCAATTACAATCTTTATGTGAGGATAAATGAGGTCCAGCCCACGACTGCCAGTGAAGACGGAGAGTATGTCACACCAGTACAGCTTGAGGTCAAGACCATTAAAGAAGGAAGGATAAGAGAGAAAGTCCTGGTCCACAGTGGCACTGATGATAGCAAATCAATGGAGGTATGGCTGATAGTCAATTTAGTTCCAGTATTGAATGACAGCATTATTTACAGTGTCCATTCTGATGTAAACTTGTCTATTCATTAGTGTTGGCACATTAATGGCTTCATCTTTAGCATTCATCTGCCATGCCAACTCTTCCCTTTATTATTTTATGGTATAATATCTCCCTCTCATCAGATTCTGATAACCGCTCAAGTGATGGAGGCTAATCAGGGTAACCCCCTTCTAAAGGATGGAGTTCATGTTGTCTCCCATGAAGTTGAAGATGAAAGTGAATGGCCAGGACACAGCAGCCATTAGACCTACACATAAAGACACCACACCTAGAACACCAGTTAATCATTATTATTGTTATTTTTGCTATTATTATTATTATTATTATTATTATTCTGAGACTTTTGAATAATAACACTAATGTCAATGATACTCTGAAAACATCTCCTCCCCCCAGTCAGTGACTCCTCTTCACTAGTAGAGGCCCTGGGTTTGCTGTAACTCAAGCTTTGCCCCGATCTTCTCCAGGATACGTTTAGCTTCACACTGAGGGAAGTTGGATAGATCATAATATTGAGGAGCAATACGAAGGACCCTGAATGAGAAAATAATTATGTGAAGAATGTATCATGTATTTATGTTTAATAAATATGCTGGAATGCTTTTGTTATGACCACAAAACTAATCAATTTAAATTAGTCATGCCCAATCCGTCTTGATGCCCCTTGAAGCTACATTTGTAATAAGAACTGCTGATATGTAAAAACTTAATTTAATTTTATACACAAACAACACAGACACACACACTAACCAATCTCCTTTAATGTCAGTGCATGTACGAATGTAGTTCTTGCTAGTTAGTACAAACTCGTTATAAAGAACCCATTCTGGTTTGTGATCAAGACAAGTGCTTGGATGCAACTGTACAACCTGGTTATCCTTCACAGTTAGATAATGACCACTTCTTTCTAAATGAGCTACCTAGTACATGAGAAATCAATTAGGATTGTACTTGTACAGTATTGGATGATTTATTGGTTAGTATAATGTTTGGCAAATTCATATTTGAACTACATGCCATTGACCACACTATAAGGTGGATTTCATAATGACCATTCCTTCATGGAACTATCAATTGCCAATAGAATGTTGCCAATAAATCATCTTGTACTGTACATAATACTGTATTTCCCTTGCCAACCACTAAAAATTCTAAGAACAATTATAATTAATAAATACAGGCCCTGGGTTTCACATTCATTAAAATACCCTCCTCTCTCTCACCTGCATGAAGAAGCCAGCCACCAGTGCCTTCCTTATGTTAGTGTAATAATCTTTACTGCTAAAGTCAGTGCTTGTCCTTTTCAAATTAAACCGGTCCATTATTCTAGAGAGCTGATCACGGACATTGTCCGCCGACTTGAGGGAGCGATAATTGAGGAAATTATCATAACACCACTGGGTGTCCTCTCGATCTTAAGAATAAGTTAAAATAAGTTTAATTAAATCATTAATAGTTAATAGGATGAGCTGGAGTGGTACTTTGTTTGTAAGCATGGTAGACATTGAGGAGTGTGAGGTGGTCCCCATCAATGTGAGCAAATCTCATTTTAGCTTCATCAGCAGCCTGTCTGGACTCATTGGGACGAATGAATACCTGGGGAACTAATGAGAGGGAGAGAGAGAGAGAGGAAGGGGTAGGAAATGAAAGTAAAACTGGCCAGTATAAAGTTTGCCAGGAATTTCAACATGTTTATGTAACAAGAATCACAAACATGTGTACATTGTATGTTCTTTTGGTATAGAGCAGTTATACAAACACTAACCAGAAAGGACTGATGTTATTGACAGTATTTCATTGGAGCAGTTATAATCAGTTGATGCTATTATCATTTTAGCTAGTTGTGGGTCCAATGGGAACTCAGCCATCATAGCACCCAACTCAGTCAGTTCCCCATTGTCATCAAGAGCTCCCAAGTAGTTGAGTAACTCCAACGCTCTCATGAGGGTCTCTGGAGCTAGAGGAGAAGGAAAGACAAGGAACATAAAATACTGTATGCTAAAAGAAAAGTCTGTTACTAGACAATAAGCCAACATGTACAGTAAGCAATATCAATTGATCATCAAAAGCATTAGTCAAAAATACTCAAGGCTATAGCCCATGTTTATTTTCCAAAAAATGGCTACAAAATCACCTCAAATTTTTATTACATTTTCTGATACATATTGATGTCCTCATGCTGTGTAGCAAGTTTGAGCTGATTCCGACTTGAATTTTTCAAGTTACGGCCATTTTAAGAAAACATCAAAATTTTGAAAAATACCCAAGGCTATAGCCCATGGTTTTTTCCAAAAAATGGCTAAAAAATCACCCCAAATTTTTATTACATTTTCTGATACATATTGATGTTCTTATGCTGTGTAGCAAGTTTGAGGTGATTCCGACTTCAATTTTTCAAGTTACGGCCATTTTAAGAAAACGTCAAAATTCTGAAAAATACCCAAGGCTATAGCCCATGGTTTTTTCCAAAAAATGGCTAAAAAATCACCCCAAATTTTTATTACATTTTCTGATACATATTGATGTCCTTATGCTGTGTAGCAAGTTTGAGCTGATTCCGACTTCAATTTTTTAAGTTACGGCCATTTTAAGAAAACGTCAAAATTCTGAAAAATACCCAAGGCTATAGCCCATGGTTTTTTCCAAAAAATGGCTAAAAAATCACCCCAAATTTTTATTACATTTTCTGATACATATTGATGTCCTTATGCTGTGTAGCAAGTTTGAGGCGATTCCGACTTCAATTTTTCAAGTTACAGCCATTTTAAGAAAATGCCCAAATTCTGAAAAATACCCAAGGCTATAGTCTATAGTTTTTTCCAAAAAATGGCTCCAAAATCACCCCAAATTTTTATTACAGGTTTTGATACATGTACATGCCTAACTATAAATCAATCAATTGCCATAACTTACTTTCTATTCCTAAAGGCTACGTTGAAAGAGAAACAAATTGTTACAAAAACAAGTCCACAGGTAGCAGCCATGTCATACATAAAGACCAGTATAATATTATTCTTGTCAAATGCAGTTACTGGAAATCCATCGTATGGAGGCTCCCCATCTAAACAGATTCTATACAATAAATAATGAACTATATATCATACATACTGTTCCACAGGGTGGTGTTTGATTCTCCATTTTGAAAAGTGAAATACGCTTTGTTAAGAAGAACAGTGACAGTACCAACTGATGCTCTAATGATTGTTCCATCTGATAATATGATAATGCACTAAGCATCATGAAAATGACCAGCTTACTAGCTGCTCTGTACTGTTGAAATAATACAACACTGTCATTTCTACTGCCTTTCTCATTGAAACTTATTTGACCCTACAGTTCATATTTTGAAATACTGTAAGCCAAGGGTACATAATTTTAAGGGTTATCATGTAAAATTTTGCCCATTAGGTAAAGCTTACAGTTAATCCAAGGAAATTAACTTCACTAAAGCTCTGTCTTATAATGCAGCCTAGCTTCATATTGGTGTAATCAAACTGCTCCAATGGGACCAGGTTTCCTGGTACATCCTCACATCCACTGACATTACCTGATGATAGTCTCTGTGATGCTAGATCCAATCCAACAGCAATGGCCCACACTCCATCAAAAGCAACTCCAGATAAACTCAACAGCATCAGGTTCTCATATAAAGGATCATTGAGAATTAGATCAGTATAGTTATCAAGATACATGCGTGGAGTCTAGTCATAATTATGAATGATACTTTATGTAGAGTAGAGTGCTGCTTACCAGACCAGAGAATGTTACAACTGATTCATTCTCAAGTGTCAGGTATCCATCAGGGACTATCCCTATGCTCCCAACTAAAACTTGCATCATGACTTGATTGGTACAGGAGACATTATTAGATGAGTAGGTACTGTTGGATCTCCACCAGTCAGCACTGTACCACAATGGAAGGATCCATAGAAAAGTAGGAGCAACCATTCCTCTATAATAGGCCTGGAAGCACACACACATGTATCTGAATATACTCAATGTTATACTCTACCTCACATAAAACTGTATAAGCAATGTTAGGATATGCATTGATGTGGATTATTTTGAATGTCTGAGCTTCATTCTAAAAATTAAAATAACAAATACACATAGTGGCAGCTGCATGGCTAACTCTGTCAAAGTAATGAAGAGGATCCTGTCCTGTGGGAACATCATATCTGTCCAATATCCATCCTTTGGTTTTAAAAATATTGTTTTCTAAGTCATCAGTCACCTAATGTATTATATAAATTATAATAACAGTTCCCTGTTCAGCTTTACTCTAGTGAACAAGCTCTCATCTTGTGTTATGACTGAAAGCTGCTGCCAACCAAATTCTCTCATTAGCTGACCCAGGGATGAACTGATGTGACGAAATGAGACAAAAGTACGAAAAAAATTCCTAAATCTTGTTCTATCATTCAAAACATTAGCAGGAGATGCATATGCCAGCTAAAGAAACAGAGTCCAATAACTTGATATCATAGCTTAGTTACCAGAGGTATGTTCCAATAATGGCTAACTTCAGCCACTGGTATTGTAGCAGTGGAGCAGCCACAACCTAAGATTGATATGTACGTCACATTACGTTCCTGGATAAGTTCAAAAAATTGGTCAAGAGCTTTTGTATGACTACACTAAAATTAAATAAATAAATAAAATAATAATAGATGGCTATGCCTGATCATTGATATTGGAATTACCCCTGAATCCAGTACATCAGTGTAGCTTAGTGTATAGTTTTGTAGAATATCTTCTCTTTCATTGATAAGTTTCAGTGCCAGATCCACAGCTGGTCTACCTCCACTGGGTATGAACAAGCCAGTGAGAGAGGTAATGTATCCAAAGTGAAGCAGTGACTTATTATTAGCTGGTTCTACAGTGGAGAGGAACGGAATCGTCCAAAATAAAAGATAAAATATCATGTCTGTGTGAATATTTTTGGTTACCATAGTTTGTGCTCAATTAAAGGTCGCGTTGTGAAGGCTTTGCACAGTCAATCACCACTGGCAACCAAAATGAGTTAGCCTCAGACTCAGTTAGGTCAGTTTTTGTGATAATAGTTATGAGCTTACATTCTCTTCATTTTGCAACACAGACCAAATCCGCAAACCCCACCCAACCTTATTAAAATTGCCACATCTAGATTTAACAATAATTCATAAGACAATACATTAAATTGACAATTATAAAAGTAATAACAATTTATTTAAATTATAATAAATTTTGCTTTCTAAAAAGGCTATTATTTTGGAGGGCCATAGCCAGGACCTGGACTAATAAACTGCTGGTGTTGTTCGCTAGCTCCAACAGGTTGAGCAGGATTACCGGGATGAGAATAATGAGCCGTATACTGTCCCCCAGGAGTAGGAGGAGGAGGAGGGAGGCCATGGACAAGAGGCTGCCCAGCAGGTGGAGGTGGATGAACAGGAGCCTGCCCACTGTGTCCACTAGCAGGTGGAGGACCAGTAGTTGGGTGATGGCCAGTAGGTGTATGAGGACCAGTAGTTGGGTGATGGCCAGTAGGTGTATGAGGACCAGTAGTTGGGTGATGGCCAGTAGGTGTATGAGGACCAGTAGTTGGATGATGGCCAGGGGTATGTTGCTGCCAGTGAGAGGTCTGACCAGTGGATGCCTGCTGGTGTCTATAAGGTGGATATTGCTGTACTGGAGGTGATGGTACATCACTAGTAGGAGGATGAGTAGGGGGAGTAAGAGGAAGAGCATGACGTGAGGATACTCCAGCAGACTGAGGCCTCACTCCTTGTTGAGATGGCAGTCTAGGCTGATGGTGCATGACTGGTTGGCCTGGCTGAGGCACTCCAGGCTGACTAGGATACCTTGAAATCCCTCCAATCCCTCCAGGCTGGTTAGGAGGATGCTGGATCCCTCCAGGCTGGTTAGGAGGATGCTGGATCCCTCCAGGAGAGGGATGTTGTCCTATTCCTGGTTTGTTGGTAGTGGGTTGGTTCATAGGGTGTCCTACTCCTTGAGGAGGTGGCATTACTGATGAGGATTGACTAGACTGGCCAGCCTGAGGATGAGGAGCAGGCATTCCTTGTTGTCTAGGACCCACAGGTACTCTTTGGGTACTTAGCCCAGGTGAGTTGGAAGGGTTTTGAGGTCCTCTTGTCCCTCCTGGTTGATGCTGTTGTAAATGAGCTCCTCCTCCTGCTGCTGGAGGATTTTGTGGTCGATGTTGTTGTTGCTGCCCAGGTACTCCTCCTCCTCCTCTATTCTGAGGATACTGTTGAAACTGTTGTCCTTCAGTAGGTCTTGCTGCTGACGTGTTCCATCCTTGCTGCTGAGGCTGTCTTGAAGGTTGTAGAACAGGTCCACCTCCTCCAACATTAGGAGGAGGCAGCATTGGTTTCATCTGCTCCCCTCCTCCTCCTCCTCCTCTGCTCATTCCAACTCTTGCTTGAAGCTCTTGCATTTGTTGGGTGATCTGTTGAACTCTCTGACGACATTGTGACTCTAAATTATCAACAATTTGTTTGTGCTCTTCACGATAATTGGCCAGCACTTTATCTCTTTCTTGTATTTGATTCAAATACTGTTGTCCTTGCATTTGGAGTGATTGTATTTGCTGGCCACTGGCCTGAAGCTGATGCTGCAAGTGTTGAATGTCTTTGAGCTGTTGGGATATTTGATTATGAAGTGCCTGATTCTGAAGCTGTTCTTGTGCTAAAGCATCCCTTAGCTTCATCTCAAGCTCAGAGTGCTGGCTCCTCTTGGCCTCACTTTCATGGCTTAGCTTATCCATTTGCTCTTGCTGTGTTTTAAACAATTCTTGCTGCTGCTTCAATAAATTGACCAGCATTGACTGGTTACTCGATGAAGCTATTTTGTCTTTCTCTTGCAGCTGATGTGACAGGTGATAGCGTTCAAGCTCTTTCCTTTGCTCCTCCAATGTCTTTGATTGTTGCTGCAGCTGAAACTTTTGCTCTTCAATCTGTTTTGCTTGAGTTTGAATAGTTTCCTGCTGCTGTAGGCATAAATTCTCAAGATGAGAAGGAGTTGATCTCAATTCCTTGGAAGGCTGTAGACTAGTGATTGAGAGAGGAGGAGGAGGAGGGAGGACTCCTCCAGTACTGATTGACAGGATAGGATGCTGCTGCCCTCCTATTGGACTAGCAGTTGGAGTCACCATTCCTAAAGTGCCCATTGGCACTGCAGTAAACTGAGGTAGCTTCCTCACCTCATTTGAATGAGACGAGAGCTTTAGTGTATCATCAAGAACTTCTGAAAAACCTGTTGACTCAACAACATTAGATTCAACAGACTCCGAGTCTTGACTGGATGTTAGATCAGAAGTTGTGTCACCATTAACAGCTTGATCACTGTTAGGAGCTGAAACTGGGCCTGCAGTCACTAGAGGACGAGACAAAGGAACAAAAGGAGCTGATCCTCTACTAGAAATAGGAGAAGGTATTACTGGCCCTGTACTAGAAATAGGAGAAGGTATTACTGGCCCTGTACTAGAAATAGGAGGAGGTATTACTGGCCCTGTACTAGGAATAGGAGGAGGTATTACTGGCCCTGTACTAGGAATAGGAGGAGGTATTACTGGCACTGTACTAGGAATAGGAGGAGGTATTACTGGCCCTGTACTAGGAATAGGAGGAGGTATTACTGGCCCTGTACTAGGAATAGGAGGAGGTATTACTGGCCCTGTACTAGGAATAGGAGGAGGTATTACTGGTCCTGTACTAGAAATAGGAGGAGGTATTACTGGCCCTGTACTAGAAATAGAAGGAGGTATTACTGGCCCTGTACTAGGAATAGGAGGAGGTATAGTCATTCCAGTATTACCTAGTAACAAGAGTATGATAAAATGGAGTGTTAATATCTCTAACTGACCTGGTCCCATGCTGACAACTGTATTAGCAGGACTTGAACTGGATTCAACAGTAATAGGAGGAGGTGGGGCTACATCAGCGTCACTGCTATGAGGAACAAGAGGTGGGGCTGTAGCACCAGTAATGGATACATGAACTGATTCTACGTCAGTAGTAATAAAAGCTGCATCTGTTTCTGTCTCAGCATTAGTAACATCTTCTTGTCCTACATTAGGAGAAGCAGGACCAGTACTGATAGTATCTACCTGCTGAACATTAACAGGCATTAACGATGGTACAGTGGACACTGGTTGACTGGTAGTAGCGTCAATCTTAGTGTCCCCTTGAAGGTGAGAGGGTTTACTGGGACGAATCGGACCCTGAAGTTCTTGGTTACTAGTTGATCCTTGAATAGCAGGAGGAGGGAGACTCTGACTAACATCAATTGGTACTGATTGAGGTATCAGTACTGGTTCAATAAGACCAGTAGCTAATGATAAATTAACGGGTTCATCTAGTAATAGAGACACTCCCTGAGCTGTGGGGGGTGTGGCAGTGGGTGTGGCAGCAGCTGATACCTCACTAGTGCCAGTATTGTTAAGATTAGCTCTCTGCATCTCTTGGTTTTTCTTCATTTCTAATATCAGTTGGCTCATATCCCCTCCCTCTGCCTCCCCATCATTTGATTGTTGTTGTATATCTTTCTGTATCGGTCCACCACGTAAAGAAGTACTCTTAGGTGGTCTAATGGGGGGATGGGCTAGTTGGGAGGTGTGACCCTGAGGTGACTGTGGGGTGTGGTCTCGAGAAGTTGCCGATGGTTGAGGGGCGTGTCCGTGAGGGGTGTGACCAGGAGATGATTGAGAGGAATGAGTCTGAGTAGAGAGCTGATGTGTTTTATTAGCTGAAATAAAAACAAGCCAATTATTAATGATTAAAAAATAAAAACATTTCTTTACATTCTTTATTTTGTGGTACTGGAGAAGAAGATGGAGTCCTTTTATCAGGAGCAGGACTATGCCTATTAATAATAATAATAATTATTTTTATTATTATTATAGTTAATTAATTATTGGTTACCTGTCAATACTTTGTCTCTCTCGTCTTCTTGTGGTGCAAACCTCCAATGACCTCTTATGGAGTCTAGCAACACTTTCAGCTAACTTGGAGTAAAACACCAGCCCCTCACTACACAACAACAACAACAACAATCAACCAATAATGGTAGGGATGAAGGGACAGAGGGTGCTAGGTATGTTACCTTATCTTCGACTGAAGGAATGTGAAGTTACCAGCTGCTTTGGCAAGACTGACACACCATTCTTCCCTCCTAGAGTTCAACAAGTGAAGAGAGAGAGAGTAATGACAAGAGAAGGTTAAGGTGGTTCAAGTACTTACTTTTTCTGGACCTCCTGTAAAGCTTGTCTCACTTTCGCTTGTTTTGCATTTGCCTCAGTCAAAGCTCTAAATAACAACAACAACAACAACAAAAACAATAATAATAATAACAATAATAAATAAATAAATAGATAAAACTGCTGTTAAAATTACCACACATGCTACACTACACAGTCTCAAGCTAAATGCAGTCAAATGTTCAGCATCTTTTGTGGGAACTTACTTCAATATGGCGTCTTGAGCTGTTAGGTTCTGTCTTATGACGTCAGCCCTTTCCTTTGGTTTCTGGAGATACTCCTCAATCACTGCTCCTTGAGTAGAGCTGCTCTCTCCAATCATTGCATGAAGGATATCATCATTATTCATCTGACCACGCAACTGGTCCAATAACTCCTGTCTCTGGGTCTTCATCTCTTCAACTTTATTCTAATAAATAAACAAACAAACAAATAAATAAATAAATAAATAAACAAATAAATAAATAAATACACCAGACGTTGTTGTAGGTCACTGACCAATAGCGTTGTTAGTCTTTCCTTGTCCGTTTCCTCAGGGTCTATCAATAATAATAACAATAACTTTAATAAATATTATTAGAGAAGGAACACACCATCTTGAGCAGGTAGGGATGGTATGGCGGAGACTAGTGTGTTGGTTTGACCAGCTAACAGTAGCAGGTTGGGACAGAACTGGGAGAACATGGCATGGAGCTCTGAATTGGAGTTATTCTAAAGGAAATTAAAAATTATTAAAATATTAACAGTAGAATAAGGTGTTTCTCATTCATTTCCTTCATAAACTTTAGCAGTAAATCAATTACAAGGTTCATAACATTCAGAATAGCTGACACATTGTCAAATAAAAATAAAAATAAAAAATAATAATAATAAATATTATTATCATTGTAGATGTACATGTACTTACAGCTTGTTTGTGGTATTTAAGCATTGAGTCAAGCTCCTTCCATAAACTGGAGCAAACCTGAGACTCTGGCCTAGCACCATGTCTTCCCTGACAATAATAATAATAATAATAATAATAATAATAATGATAATAATAATAATAATAATAATAATAAATGAATAATTAAAAACCTGAAACTCCTTTTCATCTTTTGTTTCATCATCTTTCATCTGAGCCACTTCACTTAACTGCTGCTCAACTCTCTCCGACAAACTCATCAATTCTTGAATAACAACAACAACAAAAACAACAACAACAACAACAACAATAATAATAATAATAATTCAATTAAATTTGTGGAGTCATACCTTTTATTTTTGACTCTGTCTCCCTGATGAGACTCCCTTTACTTTGAAACTGACGATGGAGTGTCATCAGATCACCTAATGGAGGAGTGAGACTACATGAAGATGCATAAGTATCATATAATATATACTTGGTAAGGATGGAGTGTCTGTGGGTATGGTCAATTCACTGATGTTAAGAGATGTCATGAAAGTACTGCAAGTTTAATGAAAGAGAGAGAGAGAGAGAGAGAGAGAGAGAACAAATTACTAAAAAGGGTACCAGTATCTTACCTTAGTTCTTCATTCTTTTGTTCAACTGATGAATTAATGGATCTCATTATCTTAGCTTGCTCTTCACTGTGTGTTAACATCATTATATTATTATAAATACATCAGGTATACATTACCTGTATATAGAAGCAGCTTCATACGCTCGCATTGGTACCAATCTTGAAAATATGTCGGTACCAATGTTCTTTGGATCTGCCGGCTGAAACATGTAAGGCTTTACCAACTCAAAACCTACAAAATTAATAAGTAAATACCGGCCAGGAGTAAAAATGAAATAAATCAAAATCTCATAGAAGAGGCTGTGAATTACATGTCCAAATTCACCTGGTGCTGGTTCCAGTGTCTCAAGATCAGGAACAAGTTCATGAAAGACCTGCTCGTTCTGTTTAAGTGATTCCTGCAGCCTGAAGAAGAATAAGAAAAAGAAGAATAGAACACAGCTGCTCCCCCCCCCCTTTCCTTTAGCTTACTTTTGATTCAAAAAATCTGCCAAATTTTTGATTGCTTCTTTAAAGACATCAGGTGTGGCACGGTGAGGTTTACCAATTGATTTAATCTTCTCCAGGGCCAGCTGCTGATAGGCAATCTGCAGGAGGAACTGGGAATCACTGGTAACCAATTGATACACTTACCATATAGCCATAGTTGGACTGTTCCTCCATTGAATTAGCTTGATACAGCTGCAGATAATAAGCAATACAGAGAGTACATACAAAGAATTATTAGTGTGCTAACATGAGCAATGGCAGTGTAATAGGATATCTTCAGAGAGAGAAGTCTCAGCCAGTCTTTGTGCTTCTTGTTAACTGATACAGCAACATCTGATTCTAACACTAGCACCACTGACTGGTAGTATTGAGCAACCTAACACAATGATACAATAATGGTGACACAGTTTAATGACACTTTATTATTCCAATGATGAAACTATTATATGAAGAGACTGGTTTTACTTTCATTGATATTTTAGAAATATTCAGATTCTTCACTTTCGATACTCCTTTGAGTGACTTCTCAACAACACACTCTTGAGCCTGACCCTGTTGGCATAGAAGAAAAGAAAGAGGTACATATCTGTAATGGCAGGAATAATGTAACTGATATCACATGTATACTGGCTGGCTATACATGTTAATATCTATACATGAGTATGTCCTTACCAGCATTAAAGTATTGTACATTTCAACTAACTGAGGAGACAAATCGGACTGACCACTGCTTCCAAAGTTATCCTGTTTGGGGAGAGGGAGGGGAGAGGATAGAAACATCAGTAATAGAAACATCATTGATAGAAATAGAGAGAAAGAAAGAGAGAGAGGCAGTGAATCACTAACATTAATATAAGCAAAGGCTCCAGCAGAGCATTGGTAATGAGTGAGGGCCTCCTTCATGTCTTGTTCACTGTGTCTGCTGTTCTTACTCCCGACTTGTGAATGGAGTGCCCCTGTAATTAACAATAATAATTAACGAGTCACTCAAGTCCTGTACCAATGTTGTAAAGGATTGGAGCTAGTTCCGCCTGAAGCCCTTCCAGCTGTGACTCAGCTCCAGTATACACATCTTTCCTAATAAAGGGACTGGAGTCACATGTGTCTGACAGGTTATAGTTGTAAACAAACAAGATCACATGACAAAGTCATGAATATTTTAAATACATTACAATTATTATATTAACTACTGTAACTGTCTACAATACAACAAGAGGGGGAGGGGACAGAGGTGAATTCAGATTCTGGTGTACAAGGACAGTGCAACAGGTGGTACCAACAGGATCATCACAATACTGATATCAATAAGAGCAGCCAGTGAACATAGACCCTGTCTGCCACACAACACTCAATGTACAGTACCAGTCACTAATACCACACACCATCATAATGTACCAGTGATATCATTATCATCATGGTACTATTACAATATATACATACCAGCTGAAGTGTATCGGTATGATGCCAGCTGCTTCTTGAGGGAACCGAGCTCTCAGTAAATGGAGCTGAGCATAATAACGTCTCAAGAGAGTGCAACCATTATGATCCTTGGACACTTTCAACGACGCCTAATAAATATAATAATAATAATAAATTTGATGAGAGGGGGAGGGGCAGGTCCTTACATCACGCAGCTGTTCAAGTTGCCGTATCTCATTAGTAAAACTATCAGGATTCTCATCATACTGAGATGCTATGAACTAAACAAAACAGATGGGCCACTTATAGCATAAATAGAACAAACAACCATAGATACAGAACCAGTCTAATATCTATGATACAACAACTCACTGGCTTGAGAGCATTGAAGCTGGCCTTGCTCCCGTCTTTAAGGGAGAAGCTGATCATAGGAAGAGGTGGACATTCCCAAGTAGCAGCCATTACTGACAAACAGAGCAGAGAGAGAGAAGATGACACAGAGTGCAAAAGTGTAACAAAATGTTAATAATAAGGGCTTGTCGGCCACGCCCTTCTTTTGGTCATTCTCAGACTGGATTCAGGAATTATGGATTTAGGATCCAAACATGGAGGCCTGAGATCGAATTTTTTGGGCATGCGCAGAAATGGTTCCACATGGTCACATGGTGACTGATTTTGCTGTGCAAAATGGCTGGTGCACTGAACCGATTGGCTGCTTTCGGAGTTGGACTGGCTGCAACTGGAGCTATCGTTAACAGTACCCTATACAATGGTAATGGTAGTCATAAAATTAAGGTCTTTACTTTATAAATTTCTACCCTGCAGTTGATGGAGGAGAGAGAGTTGTTATTTTTGATCGATTTCGTGGCGTATTAGACTCAGTCTCAGGAGAAGGAACTCACTTTCTTGTTCCTTGGGTCCAGAAACCAATCTTCTTTAGTATCCGGAGCAAACCACGGAATGTACCTGTAGTCACTGGAAGCAAAGGTACCATATCTAGCCCCTCCCACTAGCTTGAGCTAATTATTATTTTAAAACCTATTAGTATCAACTTTAATTAGCATGCAGTTATAATTTATTTATTTTACTTGTATCTCATTAGATCTCCAAAATGTTGATATTACTCTCCGTCTTTTGTTCCGACCCAAAGAAGAGAAGCTCCCCTGGATATTCAGTAATGTTGGAGTGGATTTTGAAGAAAGAGTTTTGCCGTCCATTACAACTGAAGTTTTAAAAGCGGTTGTTGTAAGTTTGCTATCTTGACAGTATTGCTATTATTATTATTATTATTACACATACATACAGGCTCAGTTTGATGCTAGTGAGCTGATTACACAGCGTGAAGTGGTCAGTGTCTATTCAACTCCATTAGGAACCCTATCAGTCACAATGTGTATGTCCTTGTAGGTATCACAGAAAGTTAGCGAAATGCTGGCGGAGAGAGCTGCTTACTTTGGGATTATTCTTGATGACATGTCCATTGTGAGTCTGTCATTGACTGTATTTGCATTAAATCCTCTTATAGACACACCTGAGCTTTGGTCTTGAATTCACTCAAGCCGTGGAGATGAAGCAAGTTGGTATGTTTCTTTATATTCTGGAATGATTGCATTATTTTTATTATTTTAACAGCTCAACAAGAGGCTGAAAGGGCTCGTTTTCTCGTTGAAAAGGTGAGCATTATTATTTACTTGTACTGTTTTTTGCAAGTTATAATGTAGAAAAGAGATTGAGGCTTACTAATAATTCATATTTATAAACATTAAAGTGTGAAAACTCTGTTTCTTCCTTGCCCTCTTGCTTTGTAGGCAGAGCAATACAAGCAAGCTGCTATCATAACAGCTGAAGGAGACGCAAAGGCAGCTGAAATGTTGGCCAAATCATTTTCAGAAGCTGGAGATGGATTGATTGAATTAAGAAGATTAGAAGCAGCCGAAGAGATTGCGAATACTTTATCAAGGTCCCCCAATGTTGCCTATCTACCTGGAGGTGGACAAAACCTCCTTTTGCAAATACGGTGAAATGTGATAGCCTCATTAATTCTCTGTTCCATATAATTAATTGTTGTGAACTGAACTAATACTGTCGTAGTGTGTGATATTTATTTATCACTGAAATCATAAATACTTAAATCACTAATAAACATGTCTAGCTAACATTAATTTTATAATAATATTATGCACTAGCAAGTAATAGTTATTCTTCATTAGCATAGTCATCAAGATTCTTCCTCAACCTCATATCATGGTTTTTCTTTGAGTAATGGATAATGAACCATAGACTGATGAAACCAGGTGCCATGTAGGGTAGTTGATCTGATATTCGCCTCAGCCAATTAGCTGGTGATTTGGTAAGCACTCCAGCAAAGGCCCGTTGCTCGTAGGGAGAGAGTGAGTAGGTTATGATGTGTCTTACTCGTACACCCAATGAACCAAACCCTCTACCCATTGTTTGTAGAGATGGGCTTTAATTAGAACGAGATGAAAATTCTGTTAGAAAGTAAAATTAATCACAAGAATGGTCCAAGTAGAGGATAGGTAGGTTAGTGTAACACTTACCAAGTCAATGTAGACCCAGAAAAGCTTTATTTGACTGAGTTTGACTTCTTCACAAATCAATGCTCCAAAACAAGGCGTGGTCTATGACAGGGCGTGGCAGTTCATTAATTAATTAAATAACGTAATCAAAAGAAGAAAGCACGAGAGCATGAGTGAGGGTCCAGAACTTAAAGCAGGTCATCCACCAGCCGGTAAGAGCCCCTACTGCGTATTCACACATTAACAATCCATTATAAACTGTAGTTAAAGCTGGAGGTATGAGAATTGTCACGAAACACAAGCACAAGGAACAAGACTCTGATGCTTATGACGAGAAATATAAAGACACTGTTAATCCAATGGGAGGCACTCCCGTCAAGTGAGTGGAATCAAATAGTGCTCAGCTGGTATAGAAATCCTAACAGTGACGGTTGGGCATTGCTTTATCAGCAGATCACAACAATAATTATGCTGATTAATGTAAACAACACCATAGTGAATTGCCAATCAATTACGTTATAAAAGTGGGGATTGGTCATTGGATTACACAACTGAAATAAAACTGAAGTAGTGGTCATGTTTGCTTTATAATACTGAATGTGTGTGATACTAACCAGTCCCGAGGTTTATGAATAGTGCACCACTAATAATGGCCAGGTGTGCTTATGCCTATCATCACTGGAGTCTGGTAAAAGTAATTGTGAATGATGGGAGGCTATTGCTATCTTGCATGGAGTGATACTGCAATACAATAGTTTCATTATCAGCTACTGAATGAGAAGACATAACAAACTGTACTATCAACAATTCTCCATTGAATACACATCCACAGTGACTGTAGTTTGTTTTATTATTATTCTCATGTAGGGTGGACATGAAACAAGATGTTGCTGTAGCTGGACTGAGCAGTATTGTAAGTATTGTACATTATTTTTATTTATTAATATTAATTATATGTTATAGGACACGCCTCAGTCGCATAGCACGGCCATAAAATCGTTTCATGAAAAACCAAAGCCGACCCATGAGAAGTATCATGCTCCTCCTAAACAAATGCAGATCAACCAGCCCAGGAAGAACTAGCCTATCTCAAGTATAACTGACTAATTGATTGACAAACACAATAATAGCCTCTTGTTTATTAGTATTTGGTATGTATCATGATTTGTTGTTGCTACTTGTGTCGAGTATAACCATTTTGTCTGGTCGACCTTTGAATTCAAATATAACTTTCTGTAATCTCCACTTGCCGTCATGATGATCAGCAAAAGAGTGAATGTGCCCAGCATGTTTACTGCCACTCACTGGTATTGCTACCTAAAAATAAAATTAATTATATTTAGGACTGCAATTTGCTGAATGGGCATAGTCATTCAGTAAACCAAACTATGAATACACTTAGAACTTTCATCATCATTAATTAACTTGTGTTCACTTCTGCTTGTGTTGTTGTAATGTGATTCCTTTTATCATTGAGCCGTAAAAACTGAAACCTCAGCGGTTCTCCTATCAATGTCACTGCTCTCTCGTTATCTCTTAATGCTTTCACTGTTTCAGTGTAGTATCCACTGGATGCTAGCTTCCCTGTGGTAAAGGTAGACGTTTTGTACAGTGCTTTAGCCTAAGTATCAATGTGTCTTTACTTTGCATTAGATAGTACAATACTACACAGCCAGATACAGAGGCAAATGCTCCAAATATGGCTACCTTTACCAAAGGCTGGGAAGACATTTTCTTGTAGAAGAATTGCTCCTCCCTTGACCCACGTGACAGCACGTGGGCAATAAGTCTATTAATAATAATTTATTAATTGGCTAGTTTTATGGCCCCGCCCATTTCCAGCCCCTCCCTTAGTCCCTTCCTTTTTGTTTACTTTTTTGGAGTTTATTGAGTCATTCTTTTCTAAGTAAGCTAAGGCCATAGAAGAAGGACAGTATGTCTAAAAAGACCCGCTATATGCGACTGGAGACTGACCCAGAGTCCAGTCAGTCCAGTGATGATGATGCTCCTCCTACTCATATCCCTTTACACTCTTCACAATATGTGAAAGGTTTGTTTCAACTCACTGTCGCCAGTAATCCTCAACTTTTTGAATTGTATAGAGAGCAAGTGGAACCATATTGAAAATTTAGATGAGTTCTTTGATTGGGTAAGACATTGTACCTGTATTTTAATTCTGACACAGTTAATGAATTAATTAACTACCGTATACGTCCAAATTTTCGAGGGTTCAAAATTTCGTGTTTTCAATGAAATTTGCTCAAAAGTTAATATTCGTGTGAGCTAATTTTCGTGTTCTGGCCATAGTCTACATACAATAGAATGGCATTAGAGGTGGTTTAAATTTCGTGGAATTAAGGTGAGCACGAAAATAACGAAATTTAATACACCTCGAAAATTAAGACGTGTACGGTATATTATTGTGTTATTATTTTTTAGGTTTACCAATATTTAATTAATCATGGATTATTTGCTATTGTTTTGAATGATATTCTTGAACTGGGGTAAGACTTTATTATTTAGCCATTCTTGTATTTGTCCCTTTTCTCTTTAGTCAATTTGCTTTTCTCTGTATCTTCTCTGCATTCTTGATCACTTGCATTAACTTTAAGAACCTCTTTGCTGATGATGTCTACACCAATGAAACTGGAGTGAAGGACGTGGCATTTGGAGATGTGATTGAAATAGACAGACTAGAACAGTGAGCCTGACTCTAATGATACTCTCATTCAGTTTATTCTTAATAGTATAAATCCTCTTCTTGTCTTGATATTATTTTTTGCTTTTATTTTCTGGTTTCATCGACTTTGTAAAACCATTTGGAGGTTTTTCAAGTTCCTCGGCATAAGAAGATTTTACATTGAGGCTCTTGATATTCCTCCTGTAAGTAATTAATTAATTAATAATCACTGTCTGACAGCTATACAGCATGTCTAGTGTTATTGATCCTTTCCTCTTTATAGAGTGACTTACGTAATTATAATTGGAGAGATGTCCTGGAGAGACTGAAATCAGCTCAGAATACACACAAGATGAACATAAGGAAGCAAGAACTGACTGAAATTGGTAAAGATACTAATAATGATACACACGTGCTGCATGTCAATGCATTAACAACTTTGCTGTAGTTTACTATTCTAACATAATAGCACCATTGTACAGCTAATGTGCTAATATCTATTGCTATATTCATCTGACCACAGATGTGTATCACAGAATATTGAGGTTTAAGAACTACATGGTGGCAATGATCAATAAAGATGTCCTTTCCTATAAGATATGGATTCCATTTTATGGAGAAAAGTACATAAACTGTCCTTAATTTATCATTCAATGCAACATACAGAGTTTTCTTTACGATGGGTCTAAAGTATAATTATGAGCTATTGCTCTTTTGTAAGTTGAGCTGTAGTTGTGCATAGTCCTTTATTGTCTTTCAATGTCTGATGACAGGGGGACCCGGAGCACCTTTTAAAAACAACTACCATCTTCACGAAGAATACAAGACTGCTGCCAAAAAGTGAGTGTGTACCTTTAGTTATGATTGGCAGCATTTGATTGTCTTTTGTCTTTGTCTAGATATGAACTGATCCAAAAGTAAGCTGACGGCTAAGGATCTCTCTCACATCAATTGTGATTAATTATTTATTTATCAATTTTGTAGGCTGAGATTTCGCATTACAGTCCTAGCTCTTGTTAATCTTGTTTTCTCTCCTTTCATCTTTCTCTATCAAATATTATACTCATTCTTCACCTATGCAGAGGTAAGCCGCACCATTAGTTACATCCTTTATTGTGTGTCCAGCTCCTGAAGCGACAACCTGGTGTCTTTGGTCGTCGCCGTTGGTCATTGTTTGGGAAGATATTCCTGAGACATTTCAACGAGTTGGATCATGAACTGATTGTCAGACTCAACAGAGCTTACCTACCAGCTGGTAAATATATGGACCTGTTTGTACTACCAGTGGCTACAATACTGGCCAGGTAACTGGACATACACTTTTATACTGTATGACTATTGAATATTTATTTATAGGAACGTTGCATTTGTTGCTGGTTCATTGCTAGCAGTGTTATTCACACTGACAGTAATTCAAGAGGATTTACTGACAGCTCACAATATACTGACTGCCATCACTGGACTGGGTAAGTGTCATTTCTAGTAATGATCAGTTTTAATTTGACACTCTCAGGTGTCATTGTAACACTATGTAGGATCTTTATTCCTAACGAAGTAAGTGAATCTATAACTACAGATAGATATGTACATGTATAAGCATTGTCTCTGTGAATGTACATATACATGTACATGTTTGTGAGCAAGAGTGAAGCCTTGTTGTTCTTATGCTATTATTCTGTTGTTGACATGAATAGCATCAGACAAGAGATCCTAAAGAACTAATGACAGAAATACTTGAAGAGATACACTACATGCCTGATCTGTGGAAAGAGAAACCCCACACTGTACAAGTGAGTACATTAAAATGAAGCAACTGCCATAATCCTTATACTGTGTAGCAAGTTTGAGGCGATTCTGACTTGAATTTTTCAAGTTACGGCCATTTTAAGAAAATGTCAAAATTTGGAAAAATATCCAAGGCTATAGTCCATGGTTTTTTCCAAAAAATGACTCCGATATCACCCCAAATTTTTATTACATTTTTTGATACATATTGATGTCCTTATGCTGTGTAGCAAGTTTGAGGTGATTCCGACTTGAATTTTTCAAGTTACGGCCATTTTAAGAAAATGTCAAAATTTGGAAAAATACCCAAGGCTATAGCCCATGGTTTTTTCCAAAAAATGACTCCGATATCACCCCAAATTTTTATTACATTTTCTGATACATATTGATGTCCTTATGCTGTGTAGAAAGTTTGAGACGATTCCGACTTGAATTTTTCAAGTTACGGCCATTTTTAGAAAACATCAAAATTCTGAAAAATACCCAAGGCTATAGTCCATGGTTTTTCCAAAAAATGGCTAAAAAATCACCCCAAATTTTTATTACATTTTCTGATACATATTGATGTCCTTATGCTGTGTAGAAAGTTTCAAGTGATTCCAACTTGAATTTTTCAAGTTACAGCCATTTTAAGAAAACCAGTTTATTACAGACAGCATGATGCAATCTTAACTAACAGTCTCTCGTGTCTTGATATTAATTTCTACTTGTGTACATCAACAGGTGAGCAGTCAGTTCAGTCAAGTATTCCAACTGACCATTGCCTATTTGATTGATGAGCTCTTAAGTCCACTGGTTACTCCTTTCATCCTTTACTTCTCATTGAGGAACAAGTCCCAGGATATTATTGACTTCTTAAGGAACTTCACCATTGATGTCTCAGGTACTAGTGTTAGACTGAGGCTGATGTGCTGCCATTAACTGTCTCCTCTTGTTGTTAGGTGTTGGTGATGTGTGCTCATTTGCAGAAATGAATTTACGTAAACATGGCCACTCTGAAGTAATGAAGTTTATTTCGTGTTGAAATTAGTTATTATTATTATTATTATTATTATTATTATTATTATTATTATTATTATTATTATTATTATTATTATTATTATTATTATTGTTTGTTTTAGTGGCAGCAGAATTCCCAGTTAGCTCGTTCCACAGATTACGAACGATCTGAGTTGGGAAAGACTGAAATATCTCTGTTAAACTTTACTGTAAGGGAAACCCAATCATGCCATTCTTAACTTATTACTCTTGAAGAATACTCATTAGCTGTACATGTACTTTGTTGTATTTCATTTATAGCAAAAGAATCCAAACTGGGAGGCTGGAGAAGATGCTGACACTTTTCTGACTCAACTAAAAGAATCAGGTACAATATATCTAACTATTGGTTTGTTGATATTGGAACCTACTCTTGTTTGTTAGTACATGAATAGTGGCCACTTCCTATTTGATCATTATTACTATTATTATCATTATTATTGTCCAGTTGTAATTAGTTTCTTTGCTATTTGACTAGTATAATTGTTTATTTTAATTAGTGGAGGAGCTTCATTCTTCACAACAGCAGCAGCAGCAACAGTCCCTCACTCTATCAAGAGAGGATAGTCCTCCTCCTCTTTCACTGTCTAGTCATCAGTTTGGAGTCAGTAGACTCCAAGGCTCCATGGACACTTCAATCTGGGCATCATTTACCAGTGCCAATGATGAAGCCTCTTCTTTAACTCCATTAAAGTTACACCAGGTGAGTGAGAGAGGATCAGCTGCTTGTATGAGCCAGCTCTTCTCTTGTTAATTTTAGTTTATTACACTATAACACTGTATGTTCATATGCTTTATAAAGTAGTTCATTTTTAGCTATAGCCTGAGATTAGTAGTACTATAGTTTCAACATAAGATGATTATTATTGATTATTATAATTTAGGTCCACGATGTCATGAAGACTTCTCATGGTCAGGGCTCATCATCATCAGCAGCTCCTCCTCCTCCTCCTATTGGTTCTATTGTTCCTTCCTATCATCCTCCTCCTCCTCAGCCCCAAGAGGTTGCTCTCACTGTCTATGACCATTGCCTACCAAGTGACTCCTCACTGAGTTCTGCTGATATAAGACTTGAGTCCACCATTGGACACACTCCCTCATCAACTGCTGGAGGTTTAACTGAGCCTTTCCTTCCAAGAGACTCTGAGCCTCCACCTCAAACTTAAGCTCATCATTTTAAATGTGCAAGATACATTATTATTATCCTATAGTTGAGTTCATTTTATTTTTATTGTGATTTTATTAGAGCTTTGGCCAATGGAGTACAATATACAATATATGATACTTTTCTCATCAGTACAGAATAATTATAGTTGATTTATTTATTGAGAATTGGAGATAATTAATAATACAGCAATATAATATAAATAGTTATTATTGTCCTTCATTGCTATGCTTATCAGTGGTAAGACTCAAGACGTGTATTTCTCAGTTTGGTGTCACTGAATGCTCCAGTTTGTTGCACTAGTTTACTGATTAGCCACACCCATAATCTGCAGAGCGTAGGGAGGTGTGGCTCAGTGACAGTAGTAAAAAGGCAATGGCCGGTACTTCCAACTCTTCTCTTTGGTTTTTCTTATCATTTCTGCTCGGGGTTACTCTTGGGACTGTCATTGGATGGAAGGTTCACTCTAGGAGAAACGCTTGGCTCCGGGACAGGAGAGAGTTCTACAAGAGCAAAGCAGCAGAAGCCCAAGAGAGACTTGATAGCAGTTGATGAAGAGGCGGGGTTTGGGAAAGAAAATGGAGGATGACTCGTGTTCTATTAGTAGTTCTGCGATTTTTAAAGATAGAAAACCAACTAAATCCTTTACCCCAGTGAGCATTAGGACATTTTATTTAGCTTTAAAAAATTATGTAGACTTTTGCTATAATATTAGAATGTATTACACTTATTATGAAATGCTAATTTTTGGTGTCATTAATTGTATTTTCAATTGCAATCTTTCATTACTATCAATTTGCAGACACAATGCAGCTAGTGGGTTTACTAGCCACATCCTTATTACTGCCCCACGTTTGTTATATAGTGATTGTAAGGGAGGAGGTTTCCCACAAAGTATGCGCTGAACTTGTGAGCTGACAATGACGTTTGGAGCAACTTTTAGAATTTGTAAAAAAATCCAAACTTAATCGGAATCAGCTTAAACTTTCTATGCAACATAAAAATATGTATATGCATTAGAAAGTCTAATAAAAATGGAGATTTCTCTCCTCAATTTTGGCAAAATTTGGCCAAAGACCTTGTACTATAGTTCAGGATAAATTTGTAAAAACCAATTGTGGTTGCAATCTGAGTTGTATAGTGTTTATATGATGCTGTGGATATTGAGACTACAATACCACCATTCCCTAGGTGATATCAATGACTCAAGAGGAATATGAGTGTCTGGTACGACTACTAACAGTATCTCCATCATATTACACATATCAGCCTCTCTACTGGAGCATCAGATCAGCTCCTTATGACTGGGAGAGCATTATGAAGGCAAGAGGCCAGCAGCTGGTGATTCCATTTGTATTTCAATGGCTCGGTCTTCTCAAGATTGGTTTAATTAAAGAAGGACTTTCCACCATTGATGACTTTTACAAGAGAATCATTGATGCTTTTGTAGTTCTTAAAGATAATAATCCAAAGATGACAGATACTAAAGGTGTCAAGTTTATTGTACTCACTAATGCAAGGACTGGGAATTTCCAAGCAACTTATTGCATGGGTTTAGCTACAGTCTACTCAACAATTTCAAGCAAAACGAACAGGATTGGTGTTATGTCAAGATCCATTCCCGTTAGTTTTCTGAGTAGAATTGAGACAAGATGGGACGCCATATTGAAGTCAATTGAGTCAGATCAAAAAGGTTTTGCTGGATCTTTTCAACCTTCTCTTCTATCAGTGAAACCTTTTGATTTCAAGAAGAAGGACATCTCTTCAATGTTGGAGAAAGCACTAGAACAAGAGCAAGGTGAGTGAGGGAGGGTACAAGAATCATTGTGATTATTCTAACTAGAGGAAAGAATTGAATATTTGGAAGGAACATCATCACTTGTAAGTGAAGTTATAACTGAATGATATTTCTTGTGTTTGAGACTTTTGATATGTGAACAAGATCATATTGTGCAAATACATACTAGGAACATATTTAGATCTAGTTATTATTGTTAGGGTTTTCAATTGGAATTAGAGAAATCTTTTGTGTATATTATACATCAGTTGCAAGAGAATGGAACAGATTATGATGATTACAGTTTGAAATATTCTTTATATGAATCAGAATCATCATCAATTGAACTGAACAAAGACTTCCTACAGAGTATAGGTATTGTATTTATTGATGTTTATAAATGTTTATTTATTTTTAGGTGAATCTATTGAAGAGTTTATTGACAGTCAGTGCCATGAATTTTTGTTTGAGGAGAAAAATTAGTAAAATAATTTTATTAGTATGGGTGTGGTTATAAAATTAAAGGAGGTGTGGCTGAGTGACATTGCACTGTCTTTGACTATCATGGATCCTTCATCAGTGACCAGTGAGACTGATCCTCCTAAGGCAGAAGAGACAGTGAAATCAGACAGCAAGACTGAGGAAGAATCTTCTTCATCAAACCCTCCAGCTGCTACAGAGACAGGCCCGCCACCTCACGTTGTTCAAGAGAGCTGGACTAAACTCACAAGAGATGAACTGGTCGACAAGATCAAAGGAGTTATATATGGACACGCAATAGGGGACGCCATAGGTGTGTAAAAGAGAGGAAGGAAAGGCTAATAGGAGTCACTTTTCTTTAGGTCTTGCTACAGAGTTCATGACAAAGGAGCAAGCTAAAGGTACTTATGGAGCTAAAGGACCATCAGGTTATAAAGATATAGTCCCGGACTTTCACCGCTCAAGGTAACGGAGGAAACAAGAGACACTTTGTACATGAAATATAATTAAATACAATAGGTGGGACCAGGGAGACTGGACTGATGATACTGATCAAGTATGAGAGGGAGGGAGAGGGTATTTCCTTGTTACTGTTCTGTCCACAGATGCTGCTCATCCTGTTGAGTGTTGTTGAGAACAATGGTATAGTGGATGAGAAGGATTTCGCTAGAAGACTGAGGGACTGGATGCTGAAGGGCTTCCCTGAGCTGGGAGACCCAGGTCAGTGAGTGGTACCTTTAAAATTTGACATAATAATTTAAATATTATATAAATAATTAACACATGCAGGTGGATTTGGTATCGGAATGACAGTATCCAAAGTATTGCATCATCCTTTGATATTAACTGATCCACACGCAGCTGCTAGAGATGTGTGGGAAAGCTCTGGGTAAAAAACAAATAATAATAATAATAATAATAATAATAATAATAATAATAATAATAATAATAATAATAAAAATCCATAACTTAACTTCATCCTTATTAAATTATTATTATTTTTTTAAATCTCTATCAACCTAATTATTTTTATTTCATTTTTCATCCTGCCCTAACTTTGTCCTAATTCTAACTTTCGTTAATAAAAAAAAAAATAATAATAATAATAATAATAATAATAATAATATTTCATTTGATACTTTAGGAGATATTTAGCTGCTAATGGAGCCGTTATGCGTACCTCTATACTTGGGGTACTTCATTTTAATGGTAAAGCGTCAATGAATATTAATTAATAATATTATTATGATTTACTCTAGATTTAGAAAGAGTGGTCTCCAATACTTGTGCCATTTCTCGTGTTACTCATGCTGATCCAAGATGCACTGCCAGCTGTGTCGCAATGACAACTGCTGTGAGTAGTACCATAAACTGATACATGTACATATACTTATGTTGAAAGTTTGAGCTGATTCTGATCAATATTGGATTTTTATGAATTTTTAAAGTTACATACTTTGTAGTACAGAGACTTTGGGCAAATTTTGCCAAAAATGAAAAGAAGAGAATTCTTTATTTTAAATTTTTTTCCTGATGCATGCATTCCTTATGTGCTCTTTTAATACTGCACTGCCTATTGTTGTGTATCCACAGATAGCACTCATGCTGCAAGGACGCTATGACTTAAGCAAGAAGGATCAAATGAAGGCTCTAATTGAAGAATCAACAAAAGTAAGTCATCATCATTCTTTTAGTAGCTCCATTGTCTTATTATTCCACTTGCAGGCTGGTATCAAGCACATTGAGTTGAAGGCCCAGGAGAAAGAGTTCCAGGACCACATTAATGCCAAAAACCTCAAAGCGCTTAAACTGGGCGAGCAGAAGGCCATAGGTTATACCTTCAAAGCTCTTGGTTCTGGATTCCTTGGTCTTCGAACTGGGACTGACTTTCGTAAATTCATAATGGAACTGATAATGGAGGCTGGAGACGCAGACACGTGAGATATTTATCATTTCACAAACTGACACTACATCTTTTTTTTTAATTTTGGGAGACCAGTCTAACTAAAAATGACAGCTAGACTTTAGCCAGTATAGATCATGCAAATATGAGAGACTAAAAGTCTCCTAAACTCCCTCTAGATCTAAGAGGGACAATGTTTGTTACTGGTTTTTAATGATTTTTGTTGTTTTTCTATAGCAATGGAGCCGTGTGTGGTGCCATGTTAGGCTGTAAGGTTGGTTTCTCCAAACTTCCTCAAGATCTCCTTGAGTTTGTCCACAGACAGTGGCTCGATGAGAAAGTGGATAAATTTATGGAACTTATTGGATTGAAATAAACTATAATTTTTTTAAAATTTGCAGAGACCAATATTATTTTTTAGATATAGTATAATGATATATTTTTTATTGTCATCTTTTTAAAACAATTACAATGCAAGGAGGCGTGGCTCATTTTAACCACGCCCAAATAACCTCCATTATTAATAGTCCTCCACATGGAAGAGGTTGATCAAGAGCCTGACACCACTGGCGTTTCTTCTACCACGAACAGGTCAGCCCCTCTCTCTCTCTCTTTATTTGTTTCACCTCCTCTCCAGGTGGCAGTTTCTATCAGAAGGAGTGTTTAGTCAGCATGTGCCTAGTCCAGCAGTCGCTAGACCAGTAGGAGCTCTGAGATCCACTGTATTACAAAGGAGGACCAGAACTGATGATGCACCGGAAAGAATTAATACCTGTATGTATATTAATGCCTGTGTGGAATATTGTAATATTAATTCATGTATAATGGGAGGCTCAATGCATTAATAACATGTACCTGTACCCGTATTTTAAATTCTTAATGGCTCCTTGGTTTTGACATAGAAGGAAATGTTGTGTATTGCTATTAAAGTATTTGTGTTTTCCTCAGCTTTGAGGACGTTAGACTCCGTATTGGGCGGAGCTTCACCTGTGACCACACCCCTAGCCTCTAGGAGCCACCTGCCAACACTAGAGGCTTCTGTCAGGTCACCAAACGTAAGTACACGCCCACTCACCCACTAGTACTGTGCATTGTATTAGGTAACACTCAGTCTGATGAATGAATCAGGTGTGTTAAGACGTATGGAACTATCAGCAACACCAATCACACCACGTCCTAGGACCAATGATACTAATAATACCGGACTAGTAAGAGAGGGGGAGGGGTTGATTAATAACTGGGGCATTTTAATGATTATTTTTGTGTAGTTTTCACAGATTGAGGATCAGTCAAGTTTCCAGCTGTCATTAGATCAGTCTCTTTCCTCTCCTCCTCTTAAACTAAATGAGAAGACCTACCCCAACCACCCAATGCTTCAAGGTGGAGTGAGAGAGAGAGCAAGAGCTAGTACATTGTATGTTCCCTTTCAGTTGGTTTGGAACTAATGGCTACATTCCACAACCACCTTCAAGAGAAGAACAGTCCAGCACAATTACTGGAGCTATTGGAGGGAATGGAACAAGTAAATACTGATATCGTAATACTCTTGCCATCTCTCTCTCTCTCTCAGACTTGTGCTTTCCAAATTGATCACTTGAAATCCCTTGAAAACCCCACCAAGTGAGTTTATGTGTATATTATTAACCCTCCCACCCCTCTCCTCAGTGTTAAGGATGTACTCCGTGAGTTGCAGTTGGAGCGGGACACTTGGCAGCTAATGAGAGGGCTCTACTCTGACCGCCTCTCCTCTGAAGAAGAAGAGGAGGAAGAAGATATGATAGAGAGAGAGGTACAGTATAGTCTCTCTTAATGGATACTCTCTATAGCGTACACTTCCATTTAACAGACAGCACCTAGTGTACCAATTACATTCCTTACTGTATAAAATAACCTCCACATAAAGGACACCTCTGTATAACAGAGACACTACCAAAGTGTCCATTATATAGAGGCTATGTCTAAACTAACTTGATATTATGGTGGATATTATTAATTTTATTTACTAACAGCTTCTTCCAAGGACTGACAAGTCAATCATTGAAGACTTTTATTCGTCTGACAAGTTCATACGACAGGCTCAGGTGAGTTTCCATGGTAACAGGGGGAGTGTCATGTGATCCACAGATTGTAGTTGATTGGTTGGAAGATATTGCTAGTCGTCAACTCAGCAATTTCCCAGCAAAAGTGAAATACTATACTGACTCAGTGAGCTGGTAAGATCAATACATTGTACCTGTACCTGTACAAGTGGTACATATTGTTCATTGTATTTGATAGGGAGAGCACGTTACATGATGTTCAACACAATCTTAACACGGAGCACATTGTAACTGAGCTGGATCCTGATGGTCCCTCTAGACAAAAGAAGCATCTCTCTGACTTGGATGAGGTGAGAAGGAGCTAGTTTTAGTCAGTAATCCTTATCCTCTGATTATTAATATAGAAAGATGAAGCTTCACTTGCTAAGCACCTGTTTGAGTGTGTTAGGGCAGGAGACATTAACAAGGTGAGAGGTTGAAGAGGGAGGGAGGGTACGGATTAGTTGCTGTTTCATTTGAGGCTCAAGAACTGTGTCTTCATTGCGGTCAGTCATGGAAGTCAGCTACTCTTGACGGCTGGAAACTCTATCATGACCCCAACCTGTTGAAAGGTGAACGACAATATTATAATAACTTTAATTCCTCTCTCTCTCCTCCTTCAGGTATAGACAGTGAGTTGGAGGAGGTTGAAGGTAATCTTGGTCGTACCTTATGGAAGAGCTCCTGCTGGGAACTTGTTAAAAGTGTAAGTGACCTCGCTACTATTGGCATGCAGTGACACCAAACAATCTTATGAATACAAAGAAGTGGTTTTTCCAAGAATTGTCATTAATTATTATTTTTTTATAGTCGTCATATTGCGATCATGAAAAAGCTCTTTATGCTGCTCTTAGCGGTAACATATCTCACGTGAGCTAATACTCCCTCTCTCCTCCACTACCTGTCTCTTTATGTTCATGTACTCCCCCCTCTCTCTCCCCCCCTCTCTCTCTCTCTCTAGCTCCTCCCAGTCTGTCAGAACTGGTATGATTATGTGTGGGCGTATTTTAAGGTCATGATAGACGTTCGTGTTGAACAAGTT